TGACATGGTATGGGGCATATGGTTAAAAAAATAAAGAAAAATTATGATCTTCCATTATTATAAAACTATAAAATATTAAGATTTTATCTTCTCAAAAAATTTACCATAACATTGTATTAATTGGCAGATATTTCACTGCTAGTACACATGAGAACAGTTAAAATTATCATGTATGTCCACAGAGTTGTTGTGCTTTGTTATATGTAGTTCATAGCTTTGATATTGTAGGGGGAGAAAAAATTATCTTTTATTCTTTAATAATAGATTATGTTCACATTCATGCAGTTTTTGTTGAACAAAATAATATGCTGGTTTTCCCTTTCTCCCCCCACTACATGTTCTAATGTCACGAAGAAAAGGCAATTTAAAGCTATGGCAACACTTACAGATATAAGGAAGGTTCCAATTTTCTTTTTTTTTTCAACACCTTTTTAATAAGTATGGAAATAAGTACAATATACTACAAAAAATTAATTAATATGAAGTTTATGAAAAAGCTGGCATCTAATAAAATAAATGGCAGTTTTTACAAGGAAATTATAATTCACCCTTTAGGTGTTATATCTAATACAAGAATACTTGTTCATGCATGCCTTCCATCTTTTCACTTAGTAGATATTCACTGTTAGAAATTTTTGAAATATTCTTCACTGGTGCACTTTATGACCCTTCCCTGCCTTTTGCTTCATTCGCCATAAATGTTGGGAGAGCAGTGTGTCTGACATGCTGAGGCACTGGAGGAAATTCTAGCAATGTACCTGGATCAAGATACCTACCCTGAAAATGACCTATTTAACTCTTAGTATCTGTTTATTTTGTCTCTCCTAGTGTAAATAATTACTAGTAGAAAACTTCTTAAGATTTCTTTTATGCCTTAGAAAGAAAGGTTTATTTTTCCTAAAGAGTTACACGTAGTTATGCAACTCAGATAATGGACAAGAAGATCAAGTACTTGATTTTACAGTATTTCTCTTGCTTGTGTTACTGTAACTTTGTTGCCTCACCTGACTCCAGATTCTCAGTCTCTCAGTAAGATTCTTCCTTACACTGTTAAATGCTGACAAAGAGCCACTGCTTTAAAATAATTGTCAGATAATGTAACTCATGAATCGTAAGTGACTAAAAAATTAACATACCCTGTTGTATGTAGAGAAAAGAAACAGTGTTCTTTGCACTCCCAAACACTCCAAACCCTAAAAAACCTAGGAAGTGGTTTGATATGCAGGTCATTGGTACTACAGTTGGAAAGCAGAGATAATTCATAGCGAAGGAGAAAAAGCAGTTCACTTAAGTAACACATTTGAGAACTTCAGTGCTAGAAAGGTATATAGTATAGAAAATAAACCTCAGTGAACAGTACTGAAGAGTATTCAGATTGGTTTGGCTCTATCTTCTCTGAACCTTGTGTTTCAGTATTAAATCAGAACAGAAGCATCCTGGCTGTCTCACAAAAGTAACTGCTGTCATTTCAGATACATCAGCAATAAGTAGTTTGACAATCATTGCCATCATAGTGTAACCTCATCTTAAATACAGATGACGTTGTAGGGACCTGCAGTATTTTTCCTTCACAAGATGTAGACAAGAAGTTTACATTTCCATCCTTCTCTCTGCTTTATACCCCAGGGTCACTGGTTATCTACTGTTGTTTTATTCAGTGCAGCTGAGACTGGTTATCTCCCCTGTGATTTTTTTTTTTTTTTTTATAATTTTCCTCAGAATTTTTTTCTGATAAAAGGAGAAACAGATTGGCTAAAAAGAATTTTTTTCCATTACAGATTGTAGTGAATGAAAAAGGCACAGAGCACTGGTCAGATGTGCTGCTTTCTTAATATATTCTAAGTAGTATACAGAGAAATTACAGAAGAGTTTCAATCATGGTTCTTAAATGTGATACAGGGGCTCCCTTGGGAAAAGAGGAGCCATAATGCTTGAAAAGAAAGAGCTGCTGGGTTAAATATCTTTCGTTGAGATGGAAAGGTAATTTCATAGGAGTCCTGTGTCACCTGAGAAGACTTTTCATTCTTCGTTGTGCATCTGGCTGTTCTTTCTAGACAAAATTATACTTGTAGTTTTAGACAGGCTTTTTAAGCCAGTGTAAGAAATACAGTCTGCATCTGTTAGCTTGAAAAAGGTAGGTAAATTATAACAGTGCTCCATAAAGAGTATTTTGTGTTCCTTCCTTTCTTCCATGCCTTCCCACCCCAACCTAACTGCAAACATGCTTTTGTAAAAGACATAGCTTTAATGTAATGATGGCTAAGTATAACCAGTGTGTTCCGATGGAAATAAAACTGGTACTTCGGACAGAATTGTGATTTCATCTGCAGACCTGGCCATAGGAATGCAAATTACTGGGCTGTAATGGCATGCTGCCACTGCCATCCTGGAAAATAGATGACAGTAATTGTAAAACTCCTTTTGAAGCATCAGAAAGAATTAGCTGCACCTAATGATTAGTTTCCTCCTATACTCAGAAGCCAGGTCAAGTAGAAGAGCCTTCTTGGAAGGGAATAGATGATATAGATGAATGAGTATTTAGAAAACATGAGAAAACCATCTGCTCATGGAAAAGCATTGAGTTCCTCTGTGCATCAGGAATCACAGCTTCCATTCACAGACATGCTTTTTATCAGGCATACCACTGCCACCATCAGCAACATCATATTTTTCATGAGGAGAGCTGTTAGAGGAAGGAAAGCTATTAAACTGCAGAGTTTGTTCTTTTTATAGGTCCAAAAGGTAAAAATTTCATTTCCCAGGTAGTTGAAGTTTGTCATTTCTTTGACAAATGGAATACATTAACCAGGGATAAGCTGAATATCAGATATAGTCAGCATGATCCAATTCAACTCTTTCTTTCCATATACCCGAATGGCCATTTCTATGAAGGAGTCAGTTATAGAGATTACTAAAACCACCTTTACTATTTTGAGAAATTGTAGAGGCAATTCAAAAGGAAATGTTTCTGTTTGAAGTACCCCTGATTCTAGGAAATTACAGCAGTTGAGAATTAGGTCAAAAAGCACAGTTTTCATTGTAGAATTCTGGCTCAGTTTGTTACATTGGGCATCAAAGTTGTTCCCTCCAAAATATATATATCAGTATTGAAGACTGATAATAACACTGGTCTGAAAGTTTCATTATAATGCATATGTTGCTGAGATGAGGTTTTTTTTAAAGCCTTATTTTTATATGTGAGGGATTCTTTATTTGATGCTATAATAATCTGTCAGTCAGACCTTTCCCATATATAATATAATATCTGGCTTTCTGCATTTATGAGATATACACTGAACTAGATACATCTAGGCATTGCTACAGACTAGGTATTGTTTGGGGAGACATCTCATAGGCAAGAAAGTGATAACTTTTTTGATGATAAAGTCCTTCCCCATCATGTAGGAAACATCCATCATTATCTGATGTTCCTTTTCATATATCCTTGCAGTTAATGGGGTTTGGGAGGTATGGTTAGCTATATCTTGTGCTTGGAGGTTGTTATGATCAGCTGAGGAGGTGAAACAGTACCCAGTGTATTGAAATGTAGAGTGGCATAAAGATCTTATATTTTTATACCATATTCTGGAGCAATATGTCCAGGTTAATATAACACCACTATTGCTGTTTTCAGTAAAGAAAGTGGCATGAACTGGTATGAAGTGGCATTGTCAGTAGATAAATGGCCAGCCTCTAATCTACTACTGTTTGTATTTTCTGTCAGTCACTGCGAAAAGTTTCTAAAAAGTCAGAACAGAGTTCTCGAACACATTTCGTGTTCCTGAATGATGAGTAAGAAGTCAGGGAGTCAGTCTTTCTAGCATTTGCAATACAGAAGGCTCCAAAGACTGACCCTTTTGTATGATATACCAAGAAGTGACAGTTACGCTGCTCTGGGTATGCAGAAGCTCAGTTTTGACTTTCCTTTGAACTACTTCTCTGTCTCCTGGTCAGGGAGGCTCCTGTGTGTCTCCCTACCTGTCCCTCTGATTTCACTAGCCCTGTGCCATGTTAGGGAAGAAGGAATGACTTTGACCAAAGGTTAATATTTAGTAAGTTTTTTCCCCCAAGTAGTTGATTGGAAATTAATCAAAGACAAGCTAAGAAAATGGAATTTTAGAAAAGTGTTTACTATGAAGAAATATCCTGTTCAGGTCTTCATTTGTGTCGGGCCTGTCAGGAATATGTTGTTGATGGTTTAGGACTAACTAATATTTTAACTGAAGATATTTTATAATGAAACTCTTTTCAAATAGATGCTCAGTTAATTTACTTCTAGTTTTAATTTGATGATTATGTTGACAATCTGTAGCTCTAAGGATGTATTTCAGTAGCACAGGATTTCTAAGACGTAAGGGTTCTTCTGCCATATGTCTTTTTTCCAAAGTCATATCATCTTTGCTTAAAGTTAATTTGTTGCCTGGAAATCTCTGTTGGCCAAGTGCCGCCCAGAGGTTTCTTACTGTATTTTCTGCTGATTATTAGTCTTCATTCTGACATTCTGTGACAAAGCAGAGCTCTAGTAGAAGGGCTTCAAGTCACTCTGGGAGTGGATACAGAGAGGGATGCATACAGCATGGCCCTGGGAATTGCAGAAACCATGTTCTGCTCGAATTATCATTGGCTGCTGTGTGCCTATACTGTACTGTTACAGCAACATCATCTATTCTCAGTCCTTGTTTACTAATCCAAGTGTCAGAGCCACAATATATACTCCTTATCCAGGTACAATACCAAATGAGGACTGAGTGCTCTGTATTTATCTTGGAAGAATATTGTTAAGTTTACTTCAAAAACTCTTGAAAATAAGTAAAATACTTGCAAACGTTTGTGGGAGAAAAGAATGATATGTGATAGTCCAGTATTTTGAACAGAACTTATATCGTGTTCTCCACTTAATAGGTCCAACATGATTTCTGTAAAGGTGACATTAAACTTTTAAGAGATGTCTGATTCTGAAGAAAAGTAATGGGCTGTTTCTCTCCTCCTCTTTTGGGCAGTTTTGGTATGAATCATGATGGAATTGGAAATTCCTGTGGGACCAAAGGTCACGAAGCAGCAAAGCTAATGGCAGCTCATATTACAGCAAACACCAACCCTTTCTCTTGGTCAGCCTGCAGTCGGGATTACATCACCAGTTTTTTAGAGTAAGTAAACTCTCAAGAAAAATCCTGAGTTTTCTAAAAAATGACACCTTTCAGGATAGGTAGTAGAGATACAGTGATCTGTTCTGATGGCTTGCATTTTTAGAATGGATGGAAATATAGCACATCACTTAACATTTTTATTTTGTAGAGCACTTTTTCTGTGTAATGACAAAAGCTTCTGCTCCATTCCCCACTATATAGTTCTCATTTTTAATCTATTCAAAACATTTTGAAGTGCTGATTGTATCTCATTACTTCATTTATCTGGGAGTAAGATATAAAGATGGGTAGAATTTGTCTATGAAGATGGGAAGGGTTTTTTTGAATACTTTAATAATGTGAGGGAATCTGATGAAGGGAACAAGGTTGTAGTCCTGTTCCTTCTACATTTCATTCTCCACATTTTTTAATGCAGTCTTGCGGGTTCTAATCTGTCAATATTCTTTGGTAACATTGATGAGAATATAATGATAATAGGACAGGATGGAATAGATCTTTATATTAATACCTTAAAATTGTGCTAACCTGTACTTCTGTGGTCATATTTATCCAGAAGCAGATTGCTACCTGAAATTTTACTTCTATATGAAAAAAATTAAAGTCAAAATATGTTAGTCTCAAAAATGTGCTTATATCAATGTATACATTAGTATATATGATGCATAATGAACCTTTGTATGTGTTTTAAATTGTTGAAGACAAACACAGAACTGTGAGTTCACCGAGAGCAGATTAATAGCAGGATTTTTTAACATGGCATAAGATGGGCTTTATGGGAGCAAATGGCAGTTGGTTGTTGGGTTCAGTGCCACCAGTGCAATCATTCCTTTATTGAGGTAAGGTTGTTCAGTAATTCAGATGCTTACTGTATTTTAGGAGACAGACTTAAATTTAACTAAACCAGTCAAGTCATCTAGCCATGAGACTACTAAGAACAGAATGAGCTTCTCCTCTTTCAGGGATCTAACCTTAGAATAAGGTGCTATATTCTGGATCTTACCCGAAGGAACCTGTCCAACTCATGAATTTTCTTTAGGTTGGTTCAAGTGTAGCTTTCCACACATTTAGAGGATCACTGAATTGGTCCAAAGAGGTGTTTGAGTTCCCTGTACAGTCATTGGACAGACAGATGCTTAATGTAGTGCTGTTCAGAGATAAAAAAAGTCTTCAGTTACTGTATCAAATTAAGACATTTTGCATCACACCACTGAACTGTGCACCCACCCAGTTTTATGTGTTGGAACATTTAAGATGAGTGTTTAAACTAAAGCACACTGAATAAGTCATCCTTACATATATATATGTGATACAGGTTTCTCACAATATAAATTGGGTTTTCTCAGGAGAGATATATGTGTATTCATTTAACCCTACCAATATAAAAAAAAGGTACAGGGTAGTTTTGTTTATCATTACCAAAAATTTCTGTTAATTCAACACTGTTCCTGTTAGTAGTCTTTCTTAATATGTCATCCAGCTAAACTCTAACTATGACAAAGAATACAGTTTTCCAATCTTTTCTGAGAGACGATTTCACAGTTCAGCAGTTCTGACTGTAAGCTTACAGTTCAGGTATTTCCTTGTAGCATCTGGGAATTTGTTTCTTACCATTACCATTCTACTGTTCTCTGTCTCGTTTATATCTATTTTTTGTTCTCCTCTGAACTCCATTTTGATCCCATAATTGCCCTGACATTAAGTTTTCTATTGATGAAGACATATTTCAACAGATAGATAAGAAGTAATTTCTTATTTATGGGCGTAGAGGAAGAAAGGTGGTAAAATTCTGTGGCTTGTGTTATGCTGCAAATGTGATAGAGCTGAACATTTGTTGATCATGTTCTCGCACAGTTCTAAATTCCATCCTGAGCAAACTTTCTTGTTTCTGTACTTGATACATATGCTGTGATCTTTGAAATTTTTACTGCTAGTTAAAAATGTTTAGACTGTGCCTTTCTACTTTATATTTAATTTTAATTTTTATTTTATTATGTACTGTTAGCATCTCCATTATACTTTTCCATTCCCTAGGTTTGATACACTGTTAGGTTTCATTTTTAAGTCTGTGGGATGCCAGTGAAATTGTAGTTACATTATCATAAAGACAGAATAATACTCTGGTGAGACTGTTTCCATAGTTCTAATCTCTTCATGTTTTTTGAGATACTTCTCTGTCATTGCTGGTGTTTGCAACTCTACTCGAATTACTACCACCTGTGAATTTCATTAAAAAATCATAACTGAAGATACTGATATCTGAGCGAGAATAAAAAAAAATCTACATGTACAGTTTCAATAATAAATTATCTTTCATAATATTTTAGCTCTATTTTTGTAGCCCAGAAAGTAGATGTTATTATTTTTCAAAGCTACCTTGGATAAACATTATTTTACGCATTGCAATTATGAATAGATTTTCCAATTGTATAGGGTACTGTGTTAAATAACGTACTAAGAGCCAAAGATAACTTCTCCTTCATTTAGTAATTTTGCAAGCTATTTTTGAAAATGTCAGATTTCCCAAACATGATCTGTTTGTTATAAATCTATGCTTCTTACTGTTCGTGGTTCTAATATCCTATAAATGAATTGATACGTTTTTCTTAAAATAGTTGTTTTATTTCGTAGAGTAGTCTGTAAAACTGTAGATTTTTTTTCTCCAGCTTCTAGTTTTCTCCCCAGCTTTTCATGTCATCTCCTCAATGACAGCAGGAAACTGTTGAGAGAACAGGTAAATGCAGGACAGCTGCCTAGATCACTTCTTTTTACCCATTCACACCTTTTCTTAAGGCAGAACTGCTTTAAGAGGAGATACTTTTCTGTTGCAAGTAATGATCAGTGAGCAGGAAGCAAAGAAAAATAGCAAAATTTCACGTGGTAGCAATTCCCTGGCTGCTCTTGTAAGAGCAGAACAGTCTGCATCCAGTCATGAAAAATGCTTCTCTTTTTTTTTTCTAATACTTCTTCCTAATAGCAACAGATAAGGTTAGAGCTTTAGAGACAAAGCCTCAAGCTGTTGTCATCTGTGTCTCCAGATAAATTAGACTGCCCCCTTTCTTTCCATTTTTCCTTAAGAATGGAAAGACAGCTGGGTTAGCATCCAGTAGACTACAAAGAAGACAAGTGAGTTTTTTCTGTGCTGAATCGGTATGACTAATTCAGGATTCATTTAGCTACATCCAACAAAAAAGAACATAATGGGATGAAATGCAGATATCCAAGCAGAAACCCGAGGCCATAAGTCTGTATGACATACCACAACACATTTTATATTGGCTTGGATCTGGATACAGGCTGTCATGGCACCAGGGTAGTGCAGCTGGAAAGAATTTCACTAAGATCATTACATGTTCACAGTATTATATGGCAAGCTAGATTAATGTGGATTTACTAGATTGCTAGTCTGGGTCACCTCTTGCTACAGCAGTTTTGCATCGTGTGCCATTTTGTAGTGTAGATACCATATTGCTCTTTATCATAAGGCAGAAGCATTTTGAAATAGAAATTGTCCTGATGACACTCAAAGTAGAACCTCATCTTCATCCTTCTCTTCCTCAACTTTCTTAAAACTACACCTAGAAACACATTTTCCATATTGAGTCTGCTGAGGAGTAGCCATTAAATATCACTTGCAATGTATCGGACCAGTCAAGCACTAGTTGAGAAAGCAATTTATTTTGTGGTATGGCCAAGTAGAGGATTAATACAGCTCAAAGGATGGCAATAAGACAAAGCAAAGCCATGTATTGCTAATAGATCTATCAAAAATCTCAAGAAGAGTGGCCAGGCAGCACAGGGTCTGAAATGGCCAAAGAAAGTATTTTTGTCATGGGGAAAATATTCCTTCTAGCATGTAACGGCTGTTGTCTGTCAGGCTTTATGTTAAAGATTGACTGGATTCAGTTTATCAACTGAATTGTCCATGAGTGCTTTACCATGGCTTTAAATTTCACTAAACTTTAATGGAATTAAATACAGAAATACTGAGAATTGGAGGATTGGAGAGCAGTGTCAGAGAACAGAGATTCCTGTGAGAGGAGTAGAAACCCTTAATTATCTGTTTATAGGAGAAATGAACCAAGCCTAAAAATACTGTTTGTGACTGAAACCCAATTAGTATAAATTTCATTATATGCAGCATGTGAGTGTGTGTGTGTGTATATATATATATATGTGTGTGTGTGTGTGTGTGTGTGTATATATATATATGTGTGTGTGTGTGTATATATATGTGTGTGTGTGTATATATATGTGTGTGTGTGTATATATATATGTGTGTGTGTGTATATATATATATGAAATATATATATAATATATATAACATGAAAGCTTCATTATATCCAGCATATATTTATAAATGCACCTATACAGTCATGAAGAAAGGAACTTTCTGCTTAGAATTCTTTATTCAGTTACTTTTATGTTTCATAATAACAAAATCTGGGTGATTTCTGCAATTATAGTTGACTAATCTTGTCAGTATCAGATAAGAGAAGGTCTTAGAAACTGCCAGATGGTCAATTCTCTTTCAAAGGCAGAATTGTCCTTTGAAGATGAAGGGAGCAGAACTAAGAGTCTTTAAACTATTTGAATAATTATGGTCTATCACAGGAAATTCTTGGACAACCTCTAGCATTGCCATGCAGCAGGATTTAGATCTGTGACTACACCTTTCTAACTCTGGAAGGGAGCCCAAACTACCTTGGTCCAAGCAAGCCCATGTAGACAATATAAAAAAATCATCCAGTGTTTGGGCCCAGACATCTACCAAATAATCTTGGACATACATATGTCCCCAATTACTGTAGATTTCTGAAACTTTAAAAGTCTTGTTTTGTTTAAAAGGTTATTCAGTAAAAAAACCCAAAAAACAAAACAAAACAAAAATAAAAAAAAACTCCCAAAGAAACAACCATCAAAAAGCCAGTTTCTGTAATCATGGGCTGGCAATATGTTTCTGAGTGTTGAATTTGCAAGTATCACTCTTTCTCTACCTCTTGGGTTATTTAAATTTAAAGAAATTGTAAAGGGAAGACTCAGCAGCAGATTCCCATTAACTTCTTATTGAGAATATTTCATGAAATAAATACAGAACAGCAAATTGGCCCAATTTTTTATAGCTTAGTATCTCCCAAACTCTCAAGGCCAGATACCCATAGATGTTGGTAGGTGGATGATTTTGATAGATGGACCAATAGATTTTTTCCTAACATGACTGCTGGATAATCATTCAGATGAATAAAAGACTGCTTTGAAACACAGACTATATTGTGGAGGAAAGTATATGCTAAAGAAATAGCAAATTATCTACTACCAAGCAAAATAAAAACTATTATGAAAGGATTGTGCAAAATTAGAAAGTCTTTGCTATGAATTAAGCAACAAGACATAGAGCCAGCCTTGCAGAAAGGATTTGAAAGGAGTAGAATTTATCATGGGAGTGAGTGGTAGATCCACATGATTATCTGAATATTTGTAACATACAAGAATCTTTTCATTTAGTAATTCTAGTTCATTTTAATTTTAAAATAGCACTCCAAATAACACTCCCATTACTTATGCCATAATCCTGCAAATATTTCTGTTATTATCTGTAGTCTGTTGAGCAACCTACAGAGTTTATTCATTAATAGCAAGTTAAGGAGCTTTGTAACCTGTACAGAAGTATATCCTACTGGTCTCTGAAAATCAGTTTTTGCTAAGGAAAAGTATGTAATAAATATAATTACTTTAGATTCTGTTAGGAGCCAAATGTTATATGTACACTGTAAATAATTCATGTTTTCCTATGTACGTATATATATATATACACAATACACTGTGTTTATAGTTAATAAAATTTATGAATTTCTTCCATATTTTTCTGGGTAATTTGGTAACAAATAAAATACTGTATCCTATCCATATATTTATGTATATGATTGTTTAGCTATAACAGATAATTACAAATATTTATAATACATTTAATTTATGATTGTTAATCATAGCTTGTATCATGATCACAAATGAGCCAGTTCTGTAACATTCAAAACCTATTTTCAGCGCCAGTGTTCTGGGATATTATCTTCAACCCTTGAAGGAGTTGTGTTGTACTGTGTATGTTTTTGAGATGTTTGGCAATAGGGACTGTAGCAGGAGTATGAACCCTGAAGGGTCTACATCCATGGCTTTTGCTTTTTCTCTTTATTGGACTTGGATACAACAGTGATGTCTGTACAGAGGTGATGATCCTCAGTTTTACATTGCTCAGGCTGTAAAGATTGTAACATTGAATCCCTGGTTCCTGTTATTTTGATCAAGCAGTTAGCAGTGATACATGTCCAAGATCTTAGTCTTTCAGAGAATGCTTTAGTATCCTTGATATCTTTCCAGACAGAAGATTAATTTGCTATCCTGTGACATTAAAATACAAAACAATGTTTAAAATTCTGTTGTAGAGTGCTTTACAAAGACCTCTTGAGACACTACATTGGAATACTGGGATGAAATGATGTCAAGCTTAGCTATTTTGTAATTGAAGCCAGTCCCCCTATTTCCCATAAAACCTCATTAAAATAATCTAGAAAATGAGGAAGTCTGAATCCTAGTAATATCTTGTGGAGTAAATAGAATGTAAGGATGAGTTTGCGATCATGTTATTTCTATTGCAGATACTAAAGATTTGTCTGCTTCCTGTTCAAAAATGTATATGCTCTGGAGGTATATCCTGTAGGCTTAGACTTTGTATATGCTTTCCATATAAGATAAAATCACAAAACACAAAAGCGATTGTTAGTAGAAGTTTTCTAAGATAGCAGAGATTAAGGTGTTTGAGTATTCTTTTCCTTCATTATCTTTTTTGCATCTACACAAAAGACTTTGCACTTTTGTAGGCCTGATTGATAATACGTATTAGGCGTCTGTTTATAAAGTGTCTCTGACACCATTATTCTTGCACCCTTTTTGTTCATTACTCTAGATTTAGCAGATTTTTATTTTTTTTTTCTCAAATGTCTGGGTTTTGCTTTGATAGAGCAAAGAGAAAGGGAGAACAAGGACATAGAATCAAGAGTATGACACTATTCCTGAGTCCAGTAGAAGTTGTCTGGAGAGGTTGTATGGTCCTCAGCCTGTATTCATCCTTTGCAGAGGTTTGATGAGACCTTTCATTACCATGGAAAGTCCCTGGTTTTATAACACATGATATTTCTTTTCCAAAAGACTCCAATTACACATCACAGTATCAGGTTATTACACTAAATTTGTAAAATGTGTCAATTTTGTTCAACTAATTGAGAGAAATAATAGAACTGAAGCAGAAGGAAAGAGAAACAAATTTTCAGTCTGAGAGCTGGTGATGTAATGTAGCTAGTAAGCGAATGATTGCTTAGTATTAATTTCTTGCTTCATTACTGCTACAACAATATTTCATTATGGTGAAAATCCTATCATTAGAGCAGAAGCAGCATATTTTTGTATTTACTACAAGGATTTTGACTTACATTTCTACAATTACATGTCTTGTAGAGTAGGTATAGACTTTAATTTACAATGACTTTGAGATTTCAATCTGATTCTGTAATCGGCTTCGTAATAGGGTACATATACCTAGAGAGAGAGTCACAGAAGGGTTTTTAAATGCTGTGCCCTTGGCTGTCAGTTTACAGCTTCATAGTTAACAGACCAAACTCTGCACTATAAGAATCTATGGAAATGTTGCCATCATATTAAATGCTAGCTCAGGCTGATGTCAAATGCTAAACTTCCCACTGCTTGTTTAAGCAAAGTTCCTATATGCAGTTCGGTCCAGACAGTGCAGAAAAAATCAGATTGTATTGGAATTATTTTCATATTGGAATTATTAACATGAACACCCCATACATGCAAAATACAACACTGAAATATTTCAAAAGAATGTAGGATACTTCCCTAGCTTCTGATATTAGAAAATATATATGCTTGCAATAATTAAAACTGGAGTAGAGAGACAAATACGTTATTTTTTATGCCAGAACCACACAGGTGACATTTTAAAGTTAGATTTCAGCTGAGGATATGTGTGTGTGTGTGTGTGCGTGTGTGTGTGTGCGCACATGAACCACACTAATTTTAATTGGTGACTATCATATTTTTTTCTGTATTTACCTGGTTATTGCCTTGGCTGCTGTTTGATGCTTTCTGAAATAGTTGGCAGTTTTTTGTTTCTTTGTTTTTTCCAAAGATTTTATTGTAGTATTTCAAAGAATTTAATAAAAAAAGGTTAAAATGAGAACATAAAATGTGTAGTTAAAGGAGGATTTTTGCTCTTTTTTTTTTTTTTTTTTATCTGCAGATGAGAAGTGTAGAAAATTGGACATCTCCAAAAAAACAGTGTAGAACATTCACTTCTGAATGTTCCTTTGGCAAGGTGTATGGAAAAGATTTTGAAAAAAACCATAAGTGTTGGCAAAATTTGTAGGAATGTCGGAAAAAAATTTAAAGTGTTGGCATAAGAATTCTTTAAAAATCCTCACTTATTCACATGTGAAATTAAAGTAAAAAAGCATCTGTCCTCTTTTATGCACACTGACTAAATAAAACTGAAAAATTATATTTAACAAAGTACAAAGTTTTCTAAACAGAACTCTGTCTGCATATTGCTTTCTTTGTTATTTATGCCAGTACACTAAAATACTGTGGTTGAATGTGGGCATATTTTGAAAAAAAACCCACTAACCACCAAACAAAACAGTGAATAGAAAAGAAGAAATTTTGACGTTTTCAAGGATTATGATCTTGGTTCTAACACGATATTATTAATACAATAGAAAATATCTTGGATCCATACAATTTTTTTGGCTCCCCCTAGTATAGATACATTTGAAGATCCTGCAGAATTTTTACCACTTTTTTGTTCACTCAAATGGAAGTAAAGCATGCATGTTGAGGTCCTAATCTTATAAACATTTAGTCATATTGAAATTTAAATATGCTTTATATAAATCAATTTAGCTGCTCATATCTATAAAATTGTACTTAGCTGTTTGAAGGATCAGAAGAGTCATTAAGAATTGTAAACTGAATTTCTTTCTTTAATTTGTTTATTTTTCATTCTGTGACCAATGTAGCTATTCTTCAGTGAAAACAAGTAGGAATCTTAAAACAAAAATGAAAATCAGTCTTGTGTGGCTCAGAAATTATCACACTTTAAAAAAGGATAATATATGAAATCTATTTCACCATCTAAAAATAAGAATTTTTGTTAATGATGAAAAATTATTTTAATCTCTTAATTCCCTCTAATTATTTTTTCTTTTTACTATGGGTGTACCATCTTACTGTTTGTTTATTGCAATCATAGTAGTTTCACACCCAGTGCTGTTAAAACTAAGAACTAGATACATGATATCATTACTGTGATTTACAATCAGTAGAATTCCTAATTGACTTGGTCCTTTATGTTGAACAGTTCAGGCCGTGGTACTTGCCTTGATAATGAGCCTCCCAAGCGTGACTTTCTTTATCCAGCTGTGGCCCCAGGTCAGGTGTATGATGCTGATGAACAGTGTCGCTTCCAGTATGGAGCAACATCCCGCCAATGTAAATATGGGGTAAGAAGTCTTAATCCTTATGCTGAGTGTTCTGCTTAGTCATTTGTATATATTCCTTTTATAGCATAACTCTTCAGTTAGATGCATTAGTGGATTACAGATTTCCAGTAGCATGTCTGGTACCATCATACATAAGCAAAGGGTACATTTTAATCCTTATGCTGCATCTTTTGCTTGAGTCATTTGTGTGTACTGTACACCAAAATGTGTGGGTAACAATGAGCTGGGGAGAGCATTCTTTAATTTTAGGGAAAAAAGGAGCCCAGAACACTTGATCTCGCTCCTTATAAAGTGTACTACAGAATTTTCCCTAATTTCAGTTAAATGAGATCAGGTTCATGTATTAATCTTGAAACATTAAATCTGTTGTGTTGGCCTTAACTTTTGAACTTAAAGCTACATTTTGAAATTACTTTTGTACTTGTATTGATTTGTCAGGTCTGGTTTTCTTTTTTTTTTTTTCCCCCCTTGACATTGAGTTTATTGTTTATTATTCAGATCTTTTTTTTTTTTTTTTTGGAAGGATGAATTGTGGTTATGGGAACAGAGGAACATGAAGCTACATAGCTATTCAGTGTTCTATTCAGCTAAGTACTAGCAAAGCTTTGTCTTCAGGTACCAGTGTGCAATAATTAAGGTAAATACATTCATAGTAGAAATAAAAACCTGCACACTTAGGCCATTATGCAATAAACTTACAAATACTCACTTACTTAAAATCTTGCAGCTCAAAGTATGTAGTAAAAGTATGCATTCTGTTGTGCTTGTTATCCAATAATTATCTGAGAATAAATGAAATAAACCTTGAAAACATATCTAGTGATTTAAAAGTAAATATATTTAATAATAGTTTAATCTTCAGATTATTCAAATAAAACAATGTAATCTATTTACTTCTCTAAAGGCTAGCTACAGAGAAATTCCGTTTTTAATGTCCCTGGGGTGATAAATACAGTATTATTCTTGGGATGCCTCTTTGGCAGATATCATTGTGCAAAGGATTTAAAAACTGTGTGTAGCTGGTTTACTAGTTCACTGGGTCTTCTAATCCCTCATCAAACTTCTTTTGGTCTGTATTGTTCCTCTTTAAATTCTCACTTCCCACCACTGTTCTTTAAGGGCCCTGTTTCCTGTCACTACATCTAAGTCATACCTTTTTTTAAAAAAACCCTTAACTTACAGATTCTCACCACACGCACTCTTATTTTCAGACAAAGGAAATCTGCAGGTGTTTAATCCATAATTTATATACAGCCTTTGGATATATACTGCACTTTAAACTGGAAAGATAATAATGTGCAAAACCTGGCTTTTCCACATGCATGTTATTTTTTTCAAACACTGTTAAACTATGTAATCATTGTGATGATCATGTTGCACAGTACACTTTCTTTCTTAAACTAGTTTCTAAACCACAAGCAATTGGAAGTAATGAAGATGTGTAGGTAATTTTGGTTTTCTGCCTTTTGCTTTCTTTTGTTAAAGTTTTTGTTGGGATTCCCTTACAGTTACAAAAAAGAGGTCGACACTTAATTGAGTTGATATTTAAAAGAAGTTATGTCTTCATGTGACGTTACCAGTCCTCTGAACTGATACAGTGTATTGTGTTCCATCAGTGTGCCATCGATGTGAGCATAATTTACAAGGGTCACAGAAAAAAAACCCCTATTTTTAATAATAGGATTCAGACTGCATATATTAATATAACAGGTTATTGTAGAAGTCTGGTAATATTAAGTCTTAAGAAATTATATGTATTTAAAATATTATCTACATTTTAAAATATTTTCTGCCGTGGCCACAGTGCTCTAAATATCATCATGATGATTATGATCATACAGATTTCAAGTGGTAATTTTGAAGGGGAGGGAAAAAATCTTTGGAAGCTGGTAGTGCAGATGGACAATATCCGTGCAAGAAAGACCTATTCAAATATGAAGACATTTTAGAATTGAGTAGTGGAACTAGGTCTAAATACCAGGAAAAGCTAAGTTGAATACTGTGCTCAACACTTTTATTATCAAAAGTAAACCATCAGTACTTTGGATACTCCTATTTGATGTGGTGTTCACATGAAGATGTTATTAATAGTTCATTGATCTTATTCTAACAGACACATGTGCAACTATGGATGGAAATACATAGTAAAAATCCCTGATTAGCAGTGTACCTAGTTCATACACTTCTTTCTAGCAGTCCTTTTAGCCATTTTTTATTTGAAGTGCCTGATTAAAGAGGGGTAGACCAGGTTTTCTAACATGGGCTTTAGTGAAGGAAATAAATTCTAAACCAAAGGGAAATCTCAGAGAAAAATGCTTGCCTTTTTCTCTTGCTCATGTTCTTCACTGATTTGTAATGGTGAGACATAACACGTGAAGCAGTTGAACTCTCAAATCAAAAGCCAAAATACTACAAGTCTTCTTTGGGCTCTGACGTAGCTGTCGAAATAGTTGGTGTTTTTAAAGTATCTTGGAAAATCGTCATGTTCTTTCTGCTTTGAAGTTCTGTTGTAATGTCTTACTAACCTTTAGAAAAATTACCTTTTTCTACCATCTAGCTTAAATGTTAATCTGTGTTCATTGTCTTTTCTCCTGTATTTTCTCATCTATTCCATCTGTAAGTTTATTTCACTGTTGGTTTTGATCATAGATCATGTCCTAATCCTATGAAAAATTTGCACATTATAAGTACCAGAAGCTTTTCTTACTTAGGAACTTATAAGTTAGGTACCTGGAGAGGTGTTTGAATGATTAAGACATCAGAACTAAACTACTGAAGGGGCTGCAAGTTCCTGTGTTTTTATGTTTGTGTTTACTGACAAAGAGCCAGTTCCACCTTAAAAGGAGTTCGTTGGTAGTTGTTTGGATACTATTGTAAGTACTAGACCTAATTATACTGTTCAGTCACTTATGGACAGAACTGTTCCAATAAAAGCATTATGGCCATTCCCCTATATTTTTCAGGACATTAAGTTGGACAAGAATTCAAAGAGATGCTTTAGCTCTTTGAGAGGAAAAAACAAAACTACTTGTTAGCAAGTAGACAGTGATCCTTCTGATATTACAAGTGCATTGTTCTTTATACTATGCCATTTCTGATACAGGAGCACTTTTTGAGAATTTAAGTGAAGCAATAGATACTTTCAATAAAGAATTGAGAGGCAATGTCTCAAGCTACTTAAAATATTTCATTTTTAGGGTACATTTTCAGATTCAGGAGAATGCGAAATTTATGAATTACAGTAAACCAAATTGTAATGGTGGAAATTTCACCATATAATATTGACACACAGCTTTTTCCTAAAGGCAATACATGCTTTCAGGTATCTGATGGATTCACTGTAGTGGGAGATTTTGAGGTTATTTGGAACAGTGCTAGTTCCTGCTCATTTATGTAGCTACTGGATATGCTACATCTTTAGGGTGATGCCATGTGATTTATCTTCTGCTGATTGTCAAGTGTGCTTCAGTTCTTTGCTCTGTTTTTATGCTAGTTCCTCTGATAGTTCAGAACCTTTTTCAATCCTTTTGTTTAGGTGAAAAAATGACTTTTTTCATTGACTCCTTACTTCCTTAACCTTTCAGCATCTGCCTAATAACAGTTGGCTGTTGTCTGTTTCTGGGTTAACTCAAGAAAGAATTCCAGTCTTGACTTTGAATTTCTCTGTTTTATGAGTGTAAATAATACCTGGAATATCCCTGACTGTAACTTAAAGATTTTGTGGTTCAAAATAGCTCTGCTTTAGAGCTGATCCCCACATTTTTAAGATGGAGGCTAAAACCTCAGACGTTATAATAGCAGTTAATACTTCATGCATATGGTTGATATGGCTGTGGTGCATTTTATTATCTGTGAAGCTGTTGTCTGCTAGAATGGGTTTCAGGGGTAGTGTCTTAAAATTATTTGGTGCACTTTTTTGTATTTTATACTTTTCCAGCATATTGGTGTCAGTAAATATTTTGAGTAGGGTTAAGAGGATGTAAATTCTCCTTTCCTTTGCTTTCATGGCTTCTTTGAAATCAGCAGGATCACTCTTAGTATTCCACACTAGAGTTTAACACATCACGTAGTGAATTTTAGCTGATGACAGGTAGGTCTATTCTTTGTCATGGTCTTATATTTACACTTAAGTTCTCCAGTTAGTTTGCCAATGAAAATAGCTTTTAATTCCAATACCAGTTTTCATTCATATTTTCTTAGTCATTTTGGAGGACAGATAAGAGTTCAAACTATGAAATTGTTGTTTGTAAACAGGCAGAATGCAGAAGCCTTTAATAGCTCTTTTGAGTTAGTTGTTTCTAGGAAGTTTTTAACGCGTTATGGGGAGTGGCCATAAAACTCATTACTATTAATAGGAAGTTGCAGGGAAGGTGTCGACTACAGAAGTACAGAACATGGAGTTGTCATAGCATCACTGCTTCCTAGTTTCCCACCTGCCAGTTCAGAGATTAAATAATTTAACTGAATTAGTTGGTAATCACCCAAAACAAGTTGCTATACACCGTTTCTATACTATTCCTTCTAAGGCAAAATAGCCTGAATTACAATTGACTGTTGTAATCAGGAGATAAAAATTTTAATGTTAGTGAATTAAACTGTCACTTTTTTCATGAAACAGTGATGTGATTTACTTGAGTTAAATAAATGGAGGTATTAAGCTTGATATAGGGATTTTATGTGAGAGGGGAAGCAAATTCTGAAGCTGTTTTTTCAGAAGGAAAGTCAAAGAAGCCACTGGTGTATCTTTGCACCAGAACTACCAGTTCATTTTTGTTCCCTCATCATACTATGACTAGGATTGCGCATTCCCTTGAATCTGTACATAGTGCTTAGTAACTCACTGAAAAGTGACTTTTTTTGCCAGCTTCATGCATCCTACCACAGCTAAGTCACTTTATACTTGGTGTTAGCAGAGAATAAGTAGTTCATTCAGATGGATTTGTATTCCGTTGCTCACAAATTGGAGTTAAAAGTATGTGTAGGTGAAGAGAAGAATTAAA